CAGCAGCTTTGCTGTGAATAGTGCAAGTGAGTGGAATTTAGAAAGGCTGAACCAGGGGATTCAGTGCACACGTTTCTGATTCTTCCTCCTAAGTGGATCTCATAATTTTCAAATTAAACAGTTTCCTCTGTAAAAGGACATTCAAAAGCTCATAGATGTGGGAAGGAGCTTGCATATAAACGTATCTCTTGCACCTCTTGGTTTTGCCGTCTCTTCCTTCTTCCTAGGCTTGCAGCTTCCTAGGCTTGGGTGCTTCTTTTGACCCCCTCTGTTCCAATGCATGGTTTGCCTTCCATGTAACTCCTCTGCCATTTCCATGGCTCTGCGTCTTTAAAGCAGGCTTCTAACAAAGGAGATGGACCAGAGCTGAGTTGGAGTGAAGCAGGAACCACACAGTCAAAGCACCCGGGGTGATGCTCACATTATCTGCAATTTCAGTTAGGCTTCCCTGTTCCCTCTGAACTTACCTGGGATCCTTACAGTAGCTTGAGGAGTAGGGCAGAAAATGGGTTTTCTTTGTCATGGTCTCTGACCATCCACATGTGCGATGAAGCCTGTGAAGTCTGAGCAGGAGGAGGCCTTGGAATGTGAGCCAATTCCAGATGTTGAGATGAGAGAAGCAAAGGTGCTTATTTCAAGGCCAGGCTCCCCAGGTGCGCAGGCAACCTCTGAGAATAACCAAGACATCCGGTTATCGGGAGGGGGCTTGGCACAGGGGAATTCCTCAGGGACAAATGAGGCAGGTATGGCTCTCGACTCCATGATACAATGTTGGCAGGGGAGGGTGGCCCAATTAGAGGATTGGCCTGCAAAGAGGACACATGCTTGTTTCCCTCCATAAACGATGAAGCCCAAACATCCTCATAAGGATTGTTTCTAGAGGCAAATACTAGACTGGGTTCATTGCTCAGAGACTCCTTCTGGTGTTTGTGCTTCTGAAAAATGCTTTGGTCAACAAGGAACGTTATTCAAGGAAGGCCTGCAGCTGTGAATGGGCAAAGGGAGGAAAACTAGCCCATGTCACTGCCTGCTACCTCTTGTGGGCCCAGAAGGTCCTCAGCTTCATGGCAGCCAAGGTGGCCGTTTTCCCACTAGCCGCCTCCCCATGCCCCTCCAGCTCTGCTTCACCAGTGCCTTTGACCCCGGCACCAACTGTGGGGAAACAGGCCAAGAGCCCCAAAAGCATCCAGCAAAGCCTCTGATGGTGGACTTAGCACCACCATCTCACCAAAGGAACTCCCTCCAGCGCTTCGGGCCAGACCCTGGCAAGGACCACGGATGCCTCTGCCCGGCTAGGGAGCTCACTGCAGCCGTTTGATGACAGGGGAAGTGGGGTGGACCCGGTTCCATGAAGATGTACTTCATGCGTTTGTTGTATTGCAAGACACCCAATGCGGCTTACCATCTCCTCTCCCCGCTTCTCTCCATTTCACCTTCACAAGAACCCTGTGAGGTGGGTTGGGCAGAGGGACAGTGACCGTCCCCAAGTCACCGCATTAGCTTCGCGCTGGGGCTGGATCTCCCCCGTCCCACTGCGTCAGTTCCCAAGAAGCTGCTCTTAGGGACTTGCTTGCTTATTTATTTAAAGTTTTTATATGCTGTCCCATTACTAGAAGTCTCTGCCTGGCTTACAAAGAAGAAAAAACCAAAGAACAAAGCCAACCATAACAACAACACACTCCATCCGATAAATAAGGATAAAAACAAGGATGAAACCAATGGATTGTTAAAATATGGTGAAAATAAAAAGGTCTTCACCTGATGTCGAAAAGAATAAAGTGACAGTGCCAGACAAGCCTCCCTGGGGAGCGTGTTCCACTGTCGTGGCGCCACCACAGAGAAGGCCCTCCTCCGGGTAGCCACCCTTCTAATCTCCTTCAAGGAGGCTGCCGGAGAAGGACCTCTGCCTCAGATCTCAAGGGGTGGGAGGGCACATAGGGGAGGAGGCACTCCGTCAGCTATCCAGGACGCAAACTGTTTAGCTTTGAGGTGAGTCAGTCCAGGTTTTTCTTAACTGCTCAAAAAATCCCTTTGAGGGATTCCTGAGAGTGTTTTTGAAAGGGAGCTCAGTTACGAATTGGTGATAGAACAGAATGACGTAGGATTGCCTGTAAAGGGAATGGTGAATCCATGTGGAAATGGGAAGTACCCCTGGAGGTAGCAGTTTAAAAATAGACCTTCTGAAAAAATTAATAACAGATTTTTAATAATCCATCACTCTGTACAGCAGCAATTCTCTCCTATCTGAGAATCTTGTTTTTACTCGCAAATTTAATCAGTTCAGAGCACGGTGCAATGCAGGGCACACAAAAGAAGTCCTACTCAGTTGTATGACTTCCTTTTGGGCCGAACACCCTGATGTGTAATTGACTTGAATATCTAGATTTCTTTCATCAGGTAAGAGAAACTTTGAGAGACAGTGTGCTGTAGTGGTTAAGAGTGCTGCTCTGGGACTCAGGCGATCGGGGTTCTAGTCCCCGCTCAGCCATGGAGCCAAATGGGTGACTCTGGGCCAGTTCCAGACTCTCAGCCCAGTCTACCTCACAGGGTCGTTGTTGCGGGAATAAGATTGGGATCAGGAGGAGGGGGGGTGATGCAAGCTGCCTTTAATACTGTGAAAGGAAAAAGGGCAGGCTAGAAATATCATAAATCAATACAGGCGATATAAAATGGTCTGTGTTTGTGTGGAGCCTTTGAGTGTTCAGAGCACTGCACACGGATATTACATTGTTACAATGATCACAACTGCTGTGTAAGGCAGGCCTACATTGCTGAGCCTGCAATGCAGGGAGCTGAGCAGAGGCTCAATGGGAGCGGCATGCCTAAGGGCACTGAATGAGTTCATGAGCAAAGGAATAGGCGGACTGGGGATTTCCTGGTTCATAGTTCTTTCCCTCTCTCTCTGTTTCACTCAAAGCAGGCCCAGATTTTGCAGTTGCAAAAAAGAAACTGATGTAAATTGGTGACCTGCAACAGCAGAGGGTTGGACCCAGTGACCCTCTGGGCCCCTTCCAAGTCTTCTGTGATTCTGTGAGCTATGAGATGTAAGGAAAGGTACCGGATAAAGCAGAGATACAGAGTGCAAATAGGGAACCTTCTTCAGCGGAGAGCTGAAATCAGTTTTGGAAAAGCACTTCGGCACCATGTTCCACTGATGGGTGGAACCCAATGCATGCCATTTAAATAATAATTTCTATGCTAAGTACCCAAATTTCTACAGGCAGTTAAGAACAATTCAAGTATCATCTCTTTGGAAGAGGTTACTTTTTAAGTTTAAAGGTCTTACTGACGGGAAGGCATTTCAGCATTTTAGAATGGTGGAAAAACTGCATGAAACCACGAAATGGTTGCAAAAGGAAATGTTCCCCTTGGGGGAATCCCAGAAGGCTGGATTATCAGATTTGGCCCCCTGGCCCAAGATTGCCCACCCTTTGGTAGAGAAAGATGATTTTATTTTTATTCATTTTCCTGCCAGGAACCCACTGTGAGTAACCCTCCTTCTCCTCTCCATCTTATTCGCATAACAAAGAGGGAACCAAGGATCAGTTTGAATGCCAGGAAGTACTTCCTGGTGGTTAGGATCCCTAGGGTATGGAATGGGCTTCCACGGGAGGTGATTGAGGCCCCATCAGTGAGGGTGTTCAAGGCTGGACAGGCACATGGTGGGCATGTCGTGAGCGGGGCTGGCTGGAGCTGGGGGGTCAGACTAGATGGCCCAGGAGGCCGCTTCTCACTCGCTATGTTTCTGTTAGGAGAAGGGCCTTCTTGGTTGTGGCATCCCATCTGCGGAATCAGTTGCCAAAGGAAATGTGTCTGGTGTCCACTCTTTGTTCACTTCTGTGCCAGTTGAAAACTTTTTTATTTTCCCTGTATTTCAATAAGGTAAAGGTAAAGGTAAAGTTTTTCCCTTGACGACATGTCCAGTCATGCCTGACTCTCGGGGTCGGTGCTCAACTCTGTTTCCTAGCCGAGGGAGCCAGCGTTTGTCTGCAGACAGTCTCCTAGGTCATGTGGCCGGCGTGACTAAACATGCACGGAACGCTGTTACCTGCCCACCAACGTGGTACCTTTTTCTCTACTTGCATTTGCATGCTTTCGAACTGCAAGGTTGGCAAGAGCTGGGACAGAGCAATGGGAACTTACTCTGTTATGCAGATTCGAACCGGTGACCTTTCGATCAACCAGCCCGGCAGCGCAGCGGTTTAAACCACTGCGCCACCTGCAATCCCTTTCAATAGTATTTCAATAGTTGGACTTTTATTCTCATCTTTTCCTGTATTTTATTACAGTACCTCTAAGAGTGAGCTGCTGTTATTGTATCATTGTATTTATATTGTTGTGATTTTTAATTTGTTGTTTTATTTTGATTTTGTGAATTACTCAGGGAGCCTTAGAGCTGATGGGTGGTGAAGAAATAGAATAAATAATAATCCTGTGAAGTAGGCTAGGCTGAGAGCCCATGATTGGCCCAAAGGTACTGAGTGACTTAATCCCAAGTCCCAGTGCAACACTGAGAGGCAGTGTGGTGTAGTGGTTAAGGGCGTGGGACTGGGACTCAAGCGATCCAGTTTCTAGTCCCCACTCAGAACCGTATGAATCTGGGTGCATCACAGACTCTCTGCCCAACTTACTTCACAGGGTTGTTGCAGGGATAAGACTGAGATTAGAAGGAGGAGAATTATGTAAACTGCCCTAAGTTCTGGAAAAAAGAAAAAGGTGAGGTATAATGCTAATCAGTTAAATAAACAATTAACTACTCTAACCACTGTACCACACTGCCTTTATGTGGGAAGTCTGAATATAGAGGAATGAAACCTTGGGTGAGAAAGGATAATAGATGTGTGGAGAAAAAGTTCAAGCAAGAGGAGAGGTATTAAGTAGCTACATGAGAATGAAAACACAAAACTAAATTGCTTTGAGTGGCAGCTCAGAAAGAACCTGCACTGTTCAGAGGATAAACGTGGATTCTTTTGATTAAACTGCCATCTTTCCCTGCACAGGAACTCTCCAGAGGGAAAGAATTTTTAAAAACTTCACCCGGAAGCGCCAGCGGGCCATGCGCAGGCGGGTCCACCAAGTCAACGGGCACAAATTCATGGCGACTTACTTGCGGCAACCGACGTACTGCTCACACTGCCGGGAATTTATCTGGTAAGTCCGGCTGAAACGCCGGCCTGGATGAGGGCCGTTCCTCGCGGCTTTTCCCCGACGTCATCCCTTGGCTGGGCACCTGCCACTGAGGATAATTCTGCTAATGAGGCAGCTCCCAACCCACATGTGCAGGGAGGGGAGATAAAATGTGGGTCGTCTGCCTTCAGTGATCACATCTGCCTGCCTACAGAATTGGAAAGGACTGGGAAGGGGCCACTTGGAATGGTCATGTAAGCAATGAACAGCCGCTATCAGGACCGCAGGGGCCAGTGGTCCTTGCAGGTGGCCGTGGTGACTATTTCCACATGACTGTCATGTCATCTGAATATGGTGCGGTGGGTTGTGCAAGGGTGGAACAACCCTTGTATAATCCATGTCTTGTTTGAGGGCTGCTTAACCCTACAATGTAAGGATGTTTCACTGTAGACCTTTTTATTCAAACGTCATTTTAATTGCTAATATTATTGGCTTATTTTATTCTTCGGCCAGGGCGACTTATTTTATATTGTTAATTCATTTTATATTTTTAGTGTATTATATTTTAATTGATGTTTTGTGAGCCGCCCCAAGGCTTCGGCGAATGGGGCGGCATAGAAATTTTCTAAGTAAGTAAGTAAGAAAGAAAGGAAGAAAGAAAGGAAGAAAGAAAGAAAGATGATTCACATTACTGTATTCTGGATCACTATGTGTGGGTGTGAAAGCTGGACAGTGAAGGAAGCTGACAGAAGGAACACTGAAGTATCCAGAACATGGTGCTGGAGCAGAGGTTTGGGAATACCCTGGACCAACAGAGAGACAAACACACGGTCCTAAATCAAAGCGAGCCAGAGCTTTCCCTAGAAGTAAAAATGCCAAAATGAGACTCTCATACTTTGGACACATCACGAGAAGACAGAACTCCTTGGAGAAGACCATCTTGTTAGGAAAAGCCAAAGGCAGACGAAGAAGAGGAAGATTAGCTAAAGGAAGGCACAGCTGAGCAGGGCTGTCACAAAGAGGACATTGGGGGGGGGGCGTTCATAGGGATGCCGTAGGTCAGGGAAGACGTGACAGCACATGACAACAACATCCCTTGCACAACCCACACTGCTGGGGTCAGTTGACAGGCACAGGATGGCAAGGACTACAGCCCAGGTGACCCTGAGAACCAGGCCAGCCTCCTCGCAGGTAGGGCACTGGGCTGTGAGGGACCCCTGCATGGTCATTCAGAACAACCCCGAATGCATCCATCAAGTCTGGTGCGGATAGCAGCTCTCCAGGATTTCAAACAGGGACCCCAAGAAGACCAGGGATATTTTCTCCTCGAAAATCCAGGCTGTGCAAGCTCCGCTCCCCTTCCTGATGGGCTGGGTCCTACCTGCAAATTGGCACTTTGTCATCCTTACTAGCAGTGAGTTTTGGAAGCAGCAAGAATGCTGGCGAACGCGGTGGCATCCGCTGGGGCACGGGAGGCTGTTTCCTAGGGCCAGGGTCAGGAGTAGGCCTGGCTGGGCACACCGAACGAGCTCCCTGGACTTTCTCCACCTCCTCTTCCTTGCCACCCACCTGTTCCGCTGCCCCTCACTCTGGCTTAGTCCCAGCGGTGATGTTGGGAAGGAGCACATGGGTTATTGCGTTCTTGCACCTAGTGGAGACGAGGGCTGACTTCTCACTACATCTGCTGATCTGCATCTGCTCTTACGACCCTCTTCTCCAACTCTCCAGGTGCTCCCCAGGCCTGCGACTTGGTTGCTTTATTTAAAAAGGGAGTTGGAGTGTTGCAGGCACCACCCGATCAGCGCGGTGCACAGCCAGCATCTGCAGCAAAGTCGTGCAAATGGTGTGGTGTAGTGGTTAAGAGCCTGGGACTGGGACTCAGAGGATCTGGGTTCGAGTCTTCGCTCGGCCTTGGAGCCAACTGGGTGACTTTGGGCCAGGCACAAACTCTCAGCCCAGCCTACCTCACAGGTTGTTGTTGTGGGGATAAGATGGAGGAGGAGAGATAATGTAAGCTGCCTTGAGCCCTTTGTAGGAAAAAGGCAGGATATAAATTTAAAAAAATAAAAATAAATAATAAATAATAATAATCTTTTTAAAAAATGTGATAGTAAGGCTGCAACCCTAAACACATTTTCTAGGAAGACGTCCCTGTGAGATGTGATGCATCTTTCTAATGCACTGTGAGCAATTTTGATGCTATAAACACCTTCTGGGCCTGCTGAGCAAAGAGCAAAGCGCAATTTATTTTTGAATAAAAGTTCTAGTGTGTGCACAGTTAAAATCATTTTTAAAAGCAGCCAGCTTGCTGAAAAAATGGTTCGAGCAAGTAAGGCAGCTTTTGAACTGCTGGTAGGTGTCTCTGATCAGAATAGAGACAAAGACAGTGAAAACAAAGATAATGAGCCCTGGTTAAATGTATGTTATACCTGGCACTTGTTGAGCAAATCCCATGGACTTTCTTTTGATAAATTTCATTTCCATATTGTCAGTAGCTAAAATTGTTTGGGCAGTTCACAAATATAACAACCCTAAAATATAACATAACAAAAACATAAAATAAATTTATTGTTTAACCTAAACATTTAAGAACAATTTAAAACAGTTACAGCTAGATGCCAAGGCCCAAGAAACAAGTGACATGTAAAAACAGATTTCTGAAAAAGAAAAAGGTTGATTAGTTAGGACTGTGTGAATTTACTCTGACTTCAGGAGCAGCCTGGTTAACATAAGAAGGACTCTGAACTCAGTTTTACCTACCATCTTCCTTAGTGCAGTATCAGTATTTTGCTCTTGGTTACAAAGGTTGTGCACAACCTTTTTCTTTTTAAAAACCTTTTTATGTGCGATGCAAGCATAACAACAAACAAACCCCTTCAGGGGAAAAAAGACATATTGTGAAACAGAGCAATAAACAGTAATCATTGGCAAAAGGGGGGAAAAGAAAGCACAAGAAAGGAAAATGTCAGTTTCTGACATATACATTAGCGTAAACAATCCATCTATTTAAACAAGCATCTTTGATTTTGAGCTGCCCTGAGGCTTCGGCGAATGGGGCGGCATAGAAGTCCCCTAAATAAATAATAGATAAATAAATAAATGGTTGATCATGTAGCTGGAGCGCTGTGATCTTTAGTCCTCTGAGTGGTAGGGGGTCGGTTTTCTTTCTTCCAAGCGTGGTCCTTTGCAGCTGTGAAGGCTTCCCATATCCATTGTTGCCACATACAGACCTGACCTGATTTGACCTCTATGGCCATGATCTGGTCCTGAGTCATGTGTTTGTCTCTGTTCTGTCTTCAACAGGGGAGTATTTGGAAAGCAAGGATACCAGTGCCAAGGTACAGTGCCTTATCTCTTAGTTAAAGTATAGGTACAAGTTAATTTTTTCCTATAATCGTTGAAATGAGAGTGACAGGTGTGCAGGAGTCCTTCTCAGTGGAGCGCACCTGTGCTGCTAGAAAGGTGTGTGGGTTTTTAGACAGCAGTTATATGACTGTATTTGTCTGCTGTTTGTTGTTATGTTTATGACCTAGTGTGCACTCCACCAGGAATTGATTCTGGGTTACTCCTGGAGTAGTTGCAAGTTGCTTCTCCACTTTACAGGGTGACTAATTAATTTACGGGCCTCATTACCAGAAGATGCTGCTTAAGTGGTTGAACTTAAAAAGAAATCAGACCCATTCGTGGAATGTAGACATTATGGGATATTAGCCGCACAAGGGCCTTCCTGTTTGCACGTTTCCCTGTCTGGGTGTAAAAAGAGCTCCCACCCCACCCTGTTCTTAGCTGCAGAAGGCAAACGGATTATATCCCCCCTCCCTTGCTCCTACAGTCCATTTGACTGCGGCTGGTTTTGGGACAAAAAGAAGGACCTTGGGACTCCCACATCTAGAGATGAATGGATTTTGTGAAATTTATTCCATCTGTGTCTTGTGGATTGTCAGGTGTCTTGTCCACTGCCAACCATTCATTGATGGAATTGCGTTTTTCTCAGTTTCACAAACTTGTGTTTGTGGCAGACATGGCATGCTTGTGCAAATGTGCACTTCTAAAATTGCTTCCCCCTCGTATCCACATTTCCACACTTCAGTCATTGGGAGGAAAATGCATTTTCAGTCGCAGTTTGTTTCTAAAAATGGTCCAGCGAAAAAATCAGGAAAATAAGAAACGGTCCTACAAGGTTGATGCCATCTGTGTGACCTGCAAAAAGCCATTCCATTGTGGAAGCTGCACCTCAGATTTGTAGAAATCCAAGCATTTTGGAAGCCACTGTGGATTTTTCCAACATTCCGAGCTACATCACATCCAGTTTAACCCTCAGTCCCATTAAAATCCATTAATTCTCTCCAGGATAAGTTAGAATGTGCATGTATATAGTAGTCAACTGAGCATCACATTGATTCTGATTGATGCTCACCTTTCTCCCATTTTCATTTCTGGGGCTTCTACCCAACGTTTTCCATGTTTTTATTTTCACTTGTTCTGTTTTCCAGTTTGCACGTGTGTTGTGCACAAGCGTTGCCACCATCTCATCGTTACAGCTTGCACGTGCCAAAACGACAGCAAAAAGATGGATGCAAAGGTAAAGTCAGAATGATGCATTTGGAGCTCTGCAACATGTTCGTGGCAGTGCTGAGATGCATGTGTATATTTGTGCAAATGGATGTGTGTGCATGAGAGAAAGAACGAATGGGAGAGAGAGGGATGGATGGATGAATGAATGTTTGGGAGAGAGTGGGAAAGAGTGAAAGAGAGGAAAAGGAGCAGAGAGAGAGCGAGAGAGTGGGCGAGCATCTCTCTGCCCACTTTCTGCCTTTGGTTTGTCCGCTGTTGGTAAAGCACTTTTCCAAATAAGTAAGTGGCCTTTGAGTCAGAAAAACGACGTGTCCTTGTCCTTTGCACTTACCTGGGCATGAGACCTATTAAACGGGGACCCAGGGGATTGTTCGGTTCATCTTCCAAAATTAGATGCCCGGTAAGCTCATTCCTGTACGTCTCTACCAATTTCAGTTGTAGTCACTTTTGTTACATTATTCTTATTGACTTCAGTTGTTCTAGCCAGCCCGAGACTCCTTTGCCTCATAGGGTGGGATCTGTATTGAACGCATAAATAATTGGACAGTATCCAACCAAGTAACTATATTTTAAAAGGCTAAGACATTTCTATATGGCATTTTTACAATGGTATTGATTTCCATTTATAATCCAAGATGGTACAACAACTTAAAGTAATCACATAAATGAATAGAATGAACATTATATTTTAAATGAATATGCTTAATCTCCTGTACTCAGATGCACGCAACTAATTTTGAGACTGTCCTAATGAGACAAACCTCTTCACTGTGAATGGTTTGATATGTAATTGCAGAAGTAAAATGTTCGGACCCACTAGTGAGTCCCTGTTTGTTTCTGTGCAGGTTAAAAATGGCATGATTTTATTTATTTGATGTTTTAAACTGCTTGCTTAAAGTGGTTGATAGTACAAAATCTCTAAGCAGCATTATATGTGTGCATATTGTTTTCTAAATAATAGAGAACAAATCCCTGCCCCAAGGAGCTTACAATACAAGGGAGGAAGGAGAAGGAAATGGAAGCAGGGGTAAACTGCAAGAGAGTCTGTATTGAGGTTTCATATCAGAAGGGAATCTTCAGGATTAGCGTTTTTCTTGGATTGTATTTGTGGAGTTCACTAAACCAAGGCAAGTGCTCCACTTGCTTTCCTCTTTTTTCCTTGAGTGCCTTTAGGTGGTAAAAGCCTGCAGGGAAGGACTTTCTTCTTTTATCGATTATTAGTCAGGTATTGCAGGGTCCCTTTGACTGGGGAGCAGGATAAAAATACACCAAATGAATGAATAAAGAGCTCCCACACCTGCTCTTCTTTTGCAAGCCGTTTCTGCTGCGAGAAGGGGACCTCGTGCAAACACTTTACTGTCTGGGTCAGGACGGGCCTGGAAGTGTTCTGCGTACGTCTTTCCTGCCTAGCGTTCTTAAGTCCCCTGCAGTAGTTGAAACGCGGCATAATTCACCTGACTCGGCGCAGTCAGGGTAACATCGGCTGGGTGCCGCTGACATTTGTGTCCTGTTCTGTGTAGGAGGCCAGTGGAAGGGTGGCAAGTAAGCCGCAGTGGCTAGCTAGCCATCCTCCCTGTGCTGATCTTGTGCTGGTTGGATTTGCGTGCTTATGCTCACCTTGCCCTGTTTGTTGTGATGTCCACGCCTAGCAGCTGCTTTCAACCCACATTCACGGGTGGAGTACATAGAACAGAACGGTTGGTAGAGTTGGAAGGGGACTGCAAGACCTCCGAGCCCAGCCCCTGCCCCACTTCCACATGCGGTCACCCATACAGCTGCAGGCCTTTGCCTTTCTAGCTTAGCAAAGGTGACTTGTCACGTGAGCTTGCTGTATAGCTGTGCAGGCGGGAATTTATGTATTAAAAGTATTTCTACCCCATTCTTTACCAAGGTCACAGGATGGTAAAGGATATAGGTTGTTGAGTTTGGGTTGCTACTGCAATGTGGGTTATTGCAGTGTCCAAACCCAGCTGTGCCAACAAGCCATGGCTTGTTCACCACAACAACCTGTGGGTTGTTGTTGGGTTGCAAAGTATGGGCAGGGCTTGTTTCCTCAGCTGGGTCCAGATGACACAACAATGTTCTTTCCAGCAGCAATCCACTGTCCAGTGACAACCCATTCTCAGCCCTTGTTGCCTGAACCCAGCTGGAGATAAGGGGTGCTTGGGGTGGTCGCCAAACCGCCCCACAACCCTAAAATAGACTTGGTTCTGCCAAGTGTCCACCCTGGCAGATTTGGACATCACAACAAGCCATGACAATGAGGATGACTCTGTCCTTCCAGACAGTACCAAGAAGCCACTGTGTGATGGTGTGAATTGGCTGTTGTAGGATTTGGGTGGCTTGTTCTCTGTGGCATCAGGCCATCCTGCACGGGTAGGGGTCAAGGTACAAATCCTGCCAGTGCATGTGGAGCAGAAACAATTCGCCAACAATTAAAGAGGACTTTCCTATGTGTTTCTAATGGTTTTCTGACTCTTAACCAGCTGCTCCTCTGTGCTGCTTTCTCCCCAGATTTCTGAACAGAGGTTTGGAATCAACATCCCGCACAAGTTCAGAATCCACAATTACAAAGTGCCCACTTTCTGCGACCACTGCGGCTCCTTGCTCTGGGGCATTATGCGGCAAGGCCTGCAGTGCAAAAGTAAGCGGGAAGGCAAGGTCCGGGTGTCCGTTTCATCCAGCCCAGAACCCAAACCCAAACCCTCCTCGGAGGTCCTCTCGTTGATGCAGTTATGTCCTTATTATAATTGCAACCTGCCTTTGCTGACCAAAACCAGTGAGGGGGAGCCAGTGAACACCCAACTCGTACAACACCCAGCAACCCACCCTCACTGGGCATGGATGACCACCACGACCTGGGGGCGGGTGTTGAGCTATGGTACAGGCACCTGGCATGAGAAAAGGACTGTGCAAGCCGGGTGGATATTTCGTTCCGTTAGTTTGCAGAAGGGACACTCATCGCTTCTCCAATATGATATGTTTTGATTTTCTGTTCCTTGTTAGCCCAAGCTGTTTATTATGATTATTAGCATGATTATTAGACCCTTTCTTAAACAGAGGAAATGCACTGTTGGCTATGGACTTCCTCCTTCCCCAGAGGCGGCCTGCCTGCACACACCAGTGGCTGAGGGGCTTGGGCAGGTGGAGGTCTTGCACCCATCCTGCTGGAGGGACCCTGCGGGCAGCTGGTGGGCCACCATGTGCATGGAGTGCTGGACCGGATGGACCTCGGGTCTGATCCAGCATGGCCTTCCTCGTGTCCTTATGTAAGACAGGCAAGGACATGGATTTACAGAAACCAATATGCAAACAGAGAGAAAAAAGACTAGCAGAAATACGGTAGGTCTTGCCATAGAGGGGAAGTCTTGCCCAGGTGTCCTGTGGGCATGACTCATCTGCTGGCCAGACCCTATGTGTTGATGAGCAACTTCAAGGTCAGCCACTGCTCTTCCTTCTGGTCAGTTTGATCTCTCAGTTGTGAAATCACGGATTCAAAGGAGAGCGTTCATAGAGGGGACACTATGGAAACTTAGTGGAATGGAGAGAACCCATGGGATACAGTCATCTCTGGATAGAAACTCTGTTGGAAGGGCGGAGAAGAGTGCGCCTGAAGAGGTGTCGCTCTGGACCTCCAAGAAGGCCTCGAGTCCAACAGACCTGAGACCCCAGAAGGGGGCAGACTCTTCCACAGAAGCTCTGTAGGTATCGAGACTTCGTTCAAACCAAGCCAGAACCTTCCTTGGAGGCAAAAAGGATGAAATTGAGGCTCTCGTGGTTTGGGCAGATCGTGAGAAGGGAAAGCTTATGGTGAAGACAGTCAGTGGTATTGAATTGGAGCATGTTTAGGGTTGGGCAGCCAAGATGCGTAGGGTCTGGAATCCAACTGGACGAGGCCAGAGAAAATGGAGGGGATAGGCGAGAGCTGTCCTTAAACATTGGAAAGGGTGTCATGCAGACACAGGGGCAAATATGTTCTCTGCTGCCCACAGGAATGGGTTCCAAACTCATGGGTGGAAATTGCAAGGAAGTGAATTGACAGGGAGAAGATGGAACCGAGCAAGTGCAAGAGCCTGGTGCATCTGGCCCAGCGTTTTTAGCACCAGGGGGCAGCAGTGGCTCCCCAGGCAGCGGTCTTTCCCGGCTCCATCTAGGATTTAGGGGGTTGCACCCGGGACCTTCCGCAAATCATGCTACAGTTGCACCAGGAGCGGCAGATCCTGCATTGAGCTGGGGGTCAGACTAGAGGACCTTTACAACCCCTCCGTGGTGTGGCACTCTGTGAGCTGAAGGGATGAAACAAGGATGACCTGGGGCTCCCCATGCTTTCCATCATACAATTCAGGGGAACCTCTTTCCTCCTGGGCTCCCAGGGCAGAGAAACGAAAATGTCCTGAACAGCTTCCCTTGGCCTCCCACTTGCTGAAATCCATTCATGTCACACTTGTGCCCCATTGATCAGATTTACAGACATTCTGTCTGCGGAATTCCTCTGACCTGACATTGCGTCTGCCTCTCTGTTTTTTCAGTATGCAAAATGAATGTACATATACGATGCGAAGCCAACGTGGCACCCAACTGCGGTGTGAATGCAGCGGAACTGGCGAAAACGCTGGCATGCATGGGGCTGCAGCCAGGAAATATTTCTCCAAACGGGGCAAGTCTTTGCTCTCTCTTTCTTCCCTTCTGTTCTTTGCTCCACCTCAGTGGACAGTCTGATCACATCCTTCGTCCGTGTGCTGCAGGGGTTTGAACTGGATGCTGTAATGCAGAGAAACGCATTTTCCCCTCTCTTCCCAAAGAGCAACCTTATACTCTGAACTGGCCGTGGGGAACCCTCTACTGACGGGGGCTTCTTATCTAGCAGCTTTTTCACCTCGTCCTGCTTTCTCTGCCGTGGAGGGGAAAACTTTCCCATCACCAGTTGACTGGGCAAGAAAGGGATCTTGGTGGACAGCTTGATGAAAGTGTCAGTCCAGTGCGTGGCAAACTCCATGCTTGGAATAATTAGGAATGGGATATTAAACGCAACTGCCAAGATCTCACAACTTCCCTTACACAAATCCTTGTTGCAACTATGCTTGAAATACTGCTTTCAGGTCTGGTTGCCTTACCTGAAAAGGGGCATTACTGAGCTGGGGAAGGTACAGAGAAGGGCGTCAGAAACGATCAGGGGTTGGAGCAGCTGCTCTGAGACTCAGGGGTGGCTACAGCAACCGGGATGGTTCGGTTTAGGAAAAAGGTAAGGAAGGGGAGAAAAGTGAAGAGGCCTTTCCCATGGCACTCAAACCCAGGGTCATCCTGTGAAGCTGATTGTGGGAAGGTTTAGGAGGGCTTCACATGGTTTATAGGTAAATTGTGGGATTTGCTGCCACAGGAAGTGGTGATGGCCTCCAATCCGGATGGCTTTAAAAGGGGATTGGACCGATTCATGAGGGGGGAGGCCACCAGTGGCTACTAGCCTTGCTGGCCACGGGCTCCCTCCTTCCCCAGAGGCTCCATGCCTGCATGCACCCCTTGCTGAGGAGCTTGGGTGGGAGGAGGCCTTGCACCCATCCTGCCACCATGTGTACGGAGTGCTGGACTAGATGGATTCTGGTCGGCTCCAGCCCGGCTTTTCTTATGTCCTGATGAGCACTGGAAAAGGTTAGCACAGGTCAGCTTCTGATCAGAGATGAGGGCTTTAGCGCGAGGGAGGGAAGGTCCAAGGGAGGAAGCTGCTGGATGAATCAGCCGTGCCGTCCGGTGACCTTGTCTTGCTTGCTTCTGAGTAGCCATGAGGCTCATAACATCCTTCTGAGCAGAACTGCCATTTAAAAATGCAGTTGAGTGATTCAGGCTTCCTTCTTTTGAATCCTGTCCAGCTTATTGGTGTGTAGAGATAGCATACAGTATAATATAATATTATACAGTATAATAGCTCATGCTTGCTTCTGAGTAGACACACCTCCTAATATAAACTGGTAATGATGGAACAAGGGGGTTGGGTTGTTCAGCCCTAAGTGTGCTTGTCCGGGACCCCCCAAACACCAGCAGCCCCTGAAAGCTTCCCAGAATGAAATTTGCCCCTGAAGTGAAAGAGACTCATCATCCCTGCTTTAAACCTTAACCCTGAGTGATGCTGATAGTGCTCAATTGTTTGTTTTCAATTAAAAGACTAAACAAGTTTCTGGTCCTCATGACTGAAAAACTGCCTTCCCCACTGGGAGGGTTGCAGGGATGTAAATATTCCGCACAGAAGCAACCCGTGACTTACCTGACTTTCTTTTTCCCTTTCACAGAAACTGGTCTCAAGGTCAACACTCAGGCGCCAAAAGAAGGAAAGCACGAAGGACGGTAACAATGTGGCCAAAGTCTCGACAAGCAAGCTCAAGATTGAGGATTTAATATTCATCCGAGTGCTGGGAAAGGGCAGTTTTGGAAAGGTAGGGGCCTCTGAGGGCATTCGAAGCCCTCTTCTTCCCCCCAGGAATTAACTTGGGGTGCAACCCACAGGGAAGCTATTCTGGGCAAGCCTTACCAAAGAGAGTAAGATCTGTGCAAAAGCAGCGCTCCTTCATTCTGGAGAGTTGTGTGTGGGAGAACCTCCTGATGGTTTTTGCCTCAGGTTAGGCCGGGGTTGGCCAGTTTGGGGCTCCAGATGTGTTGGATGCAGCTCCCACCCTCCTTCACCAGTGGGCTGGGCTGATGGGGCTGCCCCTTAAGATCTGGGGCAGAGACCCTTCTCCAGGAGCCCTCCCTGAAGGTGATTAGGAGGGCGACTACCCGGAGAAGGGCCTTCTCTGCAGTGGCACCCAAATTGTGGAATTCGCTCCCCAGAGAGGTTCGCCTGGTGCCATCACTTTATTCTTTTTTGCGCCAGGCTAAAACCTTTTTATTTTCCCAATGTTTTAAGATTTGATGGTTTTAAAGGGGTTGTATTGTTGTTTGGAAATTTTATTAGGATGCTGTGTTTTATTTTATATTGTCTTCTTGTTAAACCATCCCGAGACTACGGTAAGGGACGGTCTAGAAATGTTTTAATGAATTCATTAAAAAAACAACAACATCTGGAGGACCAGAAGAGGCCATGCCTGGGTTGGGCATCCTGTCTCTTTCGCTGGCTCAGAGGCAGAGCCTCTGGTCCTTGATGCCGTCCATGGACTCTGCACTCCACAGCGTATGGTCCTTGACACAATATGCAGCCAGGCCAAAAACATGCTGTCTTTTTCTGCCCTGGATCTCCCGTCAGCCTGTTTCATTGCACGTCATCGGAGTCTTCGTGGGATGAGGAAGAACGTGTCTCCATCCGCTTTCTCCAAACTTGGGCATAAACTGATCAATGTCTAACAAGCTCATCTCACCCCATTTCACTGTTTTTGTCATGAACAATAAGTTCTGTCCCTGGTGTTTGCAGGTCATGCTCGCCAAAACAAAAGAGACGGGGTACCTCTATGCCATCAAAGTGCTGAAAAAAGATGTGATACTTCAGGATGATGATGTGGAATGCACCCTGACGGAGAAGCGGATCCTGACCTTGGCACGCAACCACCCCTTCCTCACCCAGCTTTTCTGCTGCTTCCAGACCGCTGTAAGTACACCTTCTGTCTTTAGGAACTCAGCGTTCCTTCCTTAATATATATAGAAATAAGATGCACACATAAACACGGACATGGGGATTTTCCTCTCTTGCAAAATAGCCATTTTAGACAGCAAATCTTCTGTTCTGGACTTCTGGTTGCCACATCTGGGAGAAAGGAGTGACCCTGCTGACCAGGACGGGGGTCAGCATGGCTGGGCATCTGCTGGAGCAGCAGAGGCTGAGAGCGGCCGGCCTTCTCCAGGATCCTTCTGACCCTACAATCCAGAGAAATTTCCCTGGCTGTTGGCAGCACTTCCCATGGCCTCTCCATGCCACTTCAGCCCCTGCTGGCGGAGGTTACGCCAAATGCAGTGCCAAGGTGACATCTGTGCCAGCTTCTGCGTTGCAGTGGGGGTAACCCAAGCTGATAGGAAGCAGCATGGGGCAGAGCCAAGCTCCCTGGGGCAGCCAGGTGCCGCGCATGCCGGGAAACACCTGGTGCACGAATGACATGCTGGGTGAGAACAGACGCTGGTGGCAGAGGTGCGCAGTTTGGTACCAATGGGGCAGAAATGGGTCAGAAAGTGGTGCAGCGAGGGGGCTGGGGAGGGGCTGTGGGAATTCTGGCAGAAGGAAGCCCACTGGCTGTCCCATCCACAAGGGCCCAGCAAAGCCTGGCACCCACCCAGAGATCATTGCTCATGTGTATGTGGAAAGGACAGTTTGATAGGGGGGCATCTTCTAACTCCACCCTTCAACCCTGAAGCGGCTTTCAATTTTTGTTTTTTTACCCGTCTCTTTTTCTCTTCCTGGTTCTCATAGAGGTTGCTCCTTGCTTTTGCACATTACGTCTTCCCAATAGGCAGAGATGACTTGTAACTTGTAGGTCCTCATCGTTTCCTGACTGTCAGAGCAATATAGCAGTGGAACCAGCTGCCCGGAGAGGTGGTGGCTCTCCCACACTGGAGACATTCAGAAAGAGCCTGGACAGCCATCTCAGTGGGATGGTGTGATGTTGTGTCCAGCAGGGGAGTGGACCTGATGGTCTTCCTGGCCCCTTCCAACTCTGCTATTCTATGATGCTATGTCAGTCCCCATAGCCACACACACAAGGAGAGCCCCCAGGTGCAAGCTGCTGAATGGCTCCATGACCCCCCCCCCCCCCCCCCCAGTTCTGGTAGTTTCATCTCTACCGGCAGCAGGACTCTGACCATGCTAATGGGCCTTCAAGACCATTCAAGAACAAGAAATCCCAACATACTTTACCTTGCAACAGGGAATAGTATATTATTGAGGGAAAAGTCCTTTTCCTGCAACTATTGTGAAGACTACAGAAAGAAAACTGATGTGTTTCATAGGATCATAGAATAGTAGAGTTGGAAGGAGGCATGAAGGCCATCTAGTCCAACCCCCTGCTGTTGCAGGACAAAATGTTACACCATCCCACTCAGGTGGCTGTCAAGTTTCTTTCCGAATGTCTCCAGTGTGGGAGGGCCCACCACCTCTCCAGGCAGCTGGTTCCACTGTCATGCAGCTCCGACAGGGAGGAAACGTTTCCTGGTATCTAGCCTGCATCTGGCTTGTCTCAACTTGAATTGATTATTCCACGTGTGACACTCTGGTTTGATGTGCTTGGTGCTGGAGGAGAGCGTTGTGCATACCCTGGAGCAACCAAAGGACAACCAGTGGGTCCTGGATTAAGCTACAGTTTTCCCTAGAAGCAAAAATGGCTCTCCTATTTGGGCACATCCTGAGAAGGCAAGACTGCGTGGAGAAGACCATCATGCTAGGGGAAGTTGATGGCAGAGGAAGGGGAAGACCGACTATAAGGCAAAGGAAGCCATAGCTTTGAGTTTGCAAAAGCTGAGTGGGACTGTCATGGAAGGGTTGTTTTGGAGGGCTCTCATTCATAGGGTCGCCATAAGTCAGGGCTGGCTTGATGGCACACAACAACAATTTTGTGATTGTTGAAACTCGGCAGTCGGAGTGGCAGATACGTCAGCATTCCTGACAGTAAAATGAGGGCCAGTGATGAGTATGTGCTTCTTCCTCTCTAATAAAGAAGGGAAAATGATGGTAAAAGCAGTGGGGCGGCCAGAGCCAAAGAGCAAAAAGGCATCATGCGCATAGAGCATGTGTGCTTCTGCATGGGCCATGTGGCCTCAGTCCCTGGATCTGTCCACTTCCACCTTGAGGTTTCAGTTGTGCCACTGCCTGGTAAAATTGCTTCCATAACATCACTTGGTATAGAGAATTAGATTGTTGTAGAGCGGCCGGCCCCAACCTGGTGGCCTTCAGAGGCATTTGGACTGCAGCTCCCAGAATTCCCATCCAGCAGGACCACTGGCTGGGAATTCTGGGTGTTGCAGTCCAAGCATGTCTGGAAGGCACAAGGTTGGGTATGGCTGTTGTAGATTGTTGTGAATTGCCCAGAGAGTTCCCCCTGCAGGGCTGTATGGAAATGAAACCATCAACAAGATCCGCCCTGTGTATGTACCCACACTTGTGACGAACACATCTTGCTCTGTCCAGGATTGTCATGACGTCCCATGATGTACACACACAGCAAAGGGTACGCGTGCATGTGCTCATCTCACATTATTGTGCATGCCACGTTTCCGATGCAGAAGTGGCATCCAGAGTCTGGAAAGCTAACCTATTCAGTCTAGCACAAGCTTTCCTGGACCCTTTTCCCCTCTTACCAGAAACACTGTCCAGAAAGCAGCGCCTTCTCCCAGGTGCTCTGAGCTTCTGCCTGCGGTTCCGGAGCTGGGCCTGCCCAGGAGGACGGGCGCAGGAAGGAAAGGTGCCCCACGATGCCCATCCTGACGCAGCAGAGGAAGGGCGGTGTGCCGCCTGCCCTTAATGCGGGTGGCCACGGGGTGGCAGGCCCTGCAAGCGAACCCGGCTAGCCTCCCGGTCACGTGGGCCCGTTTGCATCCAGGGAAAGGTTAACTGAGGAGACGCAGAGGCAGCTCCCGCTGCCAAAGAACAGGCGCTGGGCTCGCTCGCCCCAGTTTTCCCAGGGAGCCATTCAGGTTTTTGGCAGCAAACTGGCGAGGTCAACCTGCCCCGCAGTCCCGGATTTCCCGCATTTCATGCCGCCTCCTGTTCCGTGATGCCCCTTATTTTTCTCATTCTGTTCTGCCAGCCAAGCTTAAGAAGAAGTGACTGCCCTTTTTGAAGAAGTGACTGCCCAAGCTTAAGAAGAAGTGACTGCTGGTCCAGACCTGCTTTCACTGTTTGCTTTTGTGGGTTTCTTTTGTTTTGTTTTGTATCACATGCATAATTTTCTGCTTGACATAAACAGTTGCAGGGTTACCAGCGCAGACTGGAAATGATTGAGCTGCTGGCTGTTTTTGCGTGTTTATCCCCCACCCTGCCCCATCTGTGGTTGGTTAATGAATTATTATATAATTATTCAGTTGTGTATGTACACTATTTTTATCCTATTCCTCAGCCACAAAAAGGCTTCTGGAGCAGCCTACAGTCAATCCACAAAACAAGACAGCCTGTTCCTCCAGCACATATAGTCTAAAATGGCATGACACACAAGAAAAGATGAAAGGGGAGGGTAGAGGAAAAAAATGAAGTGGTCCATCAGCAGGGCTGGTCAAATGGCTCTGTTTCTCCTCATCTAGAGGCACAGACAGTCCAACTGGAGCACATCTTGATTTTTCCTTTGGCCACTTCTCTATTTGTAATGCTGTGCTATTTTTAATTAAAATAGTTAACTGTACAGATACCAGATGATCAAAGAAATAGGATAGTTATTACATATGCCATGCTCTAGCAAAAAGTTTTCTGGGCAGCTCACACAATAAAATAGATTAAAAATAACTTGCCAGTGAACTCTTATAAAATATCTTGCACTCACATTGTTGAGGATAATTAACTCTTAAGACAAGTAGGAACTGTTGCAGAAAGGAATTGTCCATTTCATATTTCCTTTTAATTATATATAATTTTCGGCAAACTAGCTTTATGCATGCATAAAATCTCTAAACTTGCTGAATCTTCTGGCTTGAACCAATTCTAATAAAGAATGGCCTTCAGCTACTATAAAATATTTGAGTGGAGTTCAAATATTCCCTCCCTTTGCAGTCCAGAGCCTGTTATTATATTCCTCACCATAAAGAGCCAAATCTTCTTTTTGCAAGGGATGGCAAATAGGACATTTGGCTAACTTTGCTGTGCAGGTATTAACAAACAACTGAGCAACGCACAAAGTCTCCTAGTATCTCCAAGCGGTGCTGCGGTGGGTCTGAACTATAGTTCCTCAGGTGTAATGTCTCTGGTACCTCTCATGACTGCAGTGCCTCCATTTATGGGCAAAAGGGACGTCTCCCTAGACACATACAGGATGGGACTTCTTCTTTCCCATACCATTAGGCTCCATTCTTTTAAAACTGTTTTTGAAAACCATGTCCAGGAATTTCTAAAAATGAGCTAGCAAGCACTAGCAAATAATTAAATAAATTAGAGAGCCATTGTGGTGTAGTGGTTAAGAGCCTGGGACTGGGACTCGGAGGATCTGGGTTCTAGTCCCCGCTCGGCCATGGAGCCAACTGGGGGACTTTGGGCCAGTCACAGACTCTCAGCCCAGCCTACCTCACAGGGTTGTTGTTGTGGGGAGAAGATGGAGGAGGAGAATGATGTAAGCTGCCTTGAGCCCTTTGTAGGAAAAAGGCAGGATATAAATTGAAAAATAAATGAAATAAAAAATAAATAATTATTTGAACAGTTCCTGGGTGAAACTCAGGGGATGGACTGTGTCCCAGTAGCACAGCAGATGCTTTGCAGGGTGCAGGTCTAAGATTTGATCCCCAGCATCTCTAGGTAGGACAAAGGAAATTCCCTGCACAGGAGCAGAAAGGAGATGACTTTATACTGAGTTGGACCATGAGCTCTTGTGGCCAAGATTGTTGACTGACAAAGGCTGCCCAGAGATCCAAGCAGGCGCCTTGTCCAGCCTACCTGAAGAGGTGAGGGGTTGAAACGGTAACCTT